AACAATGTTTTTAAAGTCAACAATGCCTAGAAAACATGCCTATAGGAATTAACAACCTAGTATGAAACGTTTTCGTTCACCTATAAGTCTAAAATCAGCAATATCATTGTCCAACATCTGCAAAATCTTTTGTCAAAACTCGTCTTCCTTGAATAACTGACGACCTCTTCTAAAATCAGTACACTTCATCTTTTCTGAAACTAGTAGATATCATGCCTATAGGTTTCGTCTAACACTTAGGTAAGCCTTAGGATAAAAGTTATGACTGCACCAGTTTTCTTTGTTAATTACGACCAGCGGGCAGGTCTAATTCAGGTTTCTTATCTGAAAATATGTGATAAATCAGCCTGCTTTCCCCTTTTAAGTTTTAATCAGACCCTAATCAGTACATGCAAGACATGCTAAACTAGATGCTTTTCTTTGATTTGAGGAGGTTTATTTGAGCCATACCTGTTTATGTGTTTTCCCAATACTTGCTACACATGTTTTGTTTGTCGCCTTAGTATTTTTACCTTTTGAAACCACAAATAAGCCAAATTTTCCCCCATTATAGGATTAGTAGTCCCAAGCACCTCTGGGGCTGATAGAATTGGGGCGGGTAATAACATGCAATAAGTAAACAAGACTATTCCGCGCTTTAACACCTTAACGGGGTGGGAAAGGGTAGATATGGATGTGATGACCACGTGATAATGTCACGTGTAACCCCTTGTCGAGGAGCGATTCCCGGACATTGTGTGGGGTGATCCATATTATTTATAAACTTAGGACCCCCCTTTCCTTTACTTGTTTATTTCGTTGTTTACCTTTCAAAATTTTAAACCGTTTTTCTCAAATTTCAGCTTGCCTTTCACTTCTTTTAATCTTATCTATTTGCAACCCTTATGTGAAACCCCCCTCATATTTGAAACTCTTATTTGATTATTTAAAGTCACAATTATAGTATGGCCGGGAACCACACTAGTGGATCTTAAGGGGTGCCTAACACCTTCCCTTCGGGATAATTTCAAGCCCTTACTCGATCTCTGGTTTTCCTAAATCAAACTCTTCTTAGTATCCTAATGCACTTTAATCATTAAGTGAAGACTCTTCTCTTTAATACATGTTAAAAGAGTTGTCAATGTCATAAATCCTATTTCGCGAGAAAAAACTGGGCGCGACAGTAGTAAGGCATTTTTTTTGAGACGGGTCAACTTTTACCCGTTTGGAATCAAACTTTGATAATGTTGGTACCAAAAATAAAAATACCTACTACAGTAAATCACTTTATACCTATTAGCTTCTGCTCTACTTTATATAAGATCATTACAGAAATTCTGGTAAAACGTATGAAACTTTTGATGCCTTTACTTATCTCTATGAATCAAGTTGCCTTTGTTGGAAAAAGACAAATTGTGGATAATGTCGTGTTAGCATTTGAATTTATGGCAGTGCTGAAAAACAAACGAAAAGGAAAAGATAAGTTAATTGCTTTAAAGTTAGATATGTCTAAAGCATATGATCGTGTGAAGTAGCCTTATATCCAGCAAATGATGTTACAAATGGGTTTTCACCAAATTTTTGTAAATTGGGTTATGACTTGTGTTATGACTGCTTCTTTTTCATTTAACTTCAATGGAGAGGTTAAAGGTTGTGTAAAGCCATCTAGAAGATTAAGGCAGGGTGATCCTTTATCACCTTACTTATTCCTAATAGTGCTGAAAGATTATCTGTTCTATTACACTCGGCTGAACAACAAGGAAAGTTAAAAGGGTTCATATTAGGGAGAAGTAGTCCTTCTGCCTCCCATTTATTTTTTGCAGACGACTCATTTATCTTTTGTAGAGCTGATATGAATAGTGTTGCTAAGATTAATAAAATTTTGGACATATAGGCAAGATGCTCAGGACAAATTATTAATTTTGAGAAATCTGCAATCTTTTTTAGTAAGAATACTATGGAGGAGGAAAAAGTTATAATATGCTCTTCGTTGAATAATACACGGATGTGTGAAAGGGTGATGTATTTAGGATTGCTTGCTATTGTAGGAAGATCTAAAAAAGAAATGTTAGCTTTCATAAAGGATATAATTTTATCTAAAATAAAGGGTCAAGCAGGGAAAGAGGTTTTATTAAAGTATGTTTTAGCTGCTATTCCTTCATATGCTATGTCTTGTTTTCAGATACCCGATGGGTTATGTAAGGAAATCACTAGTTTATTTTTAAACTTTTGGTAGGGTACGAATGATGATAAAAGAAAGATGCATTTTGAAAAGTGGGAAAAACTATGCGAACCAAAATTTAAAGGGGAATTAGGCTTTCGGGATTTAAAGGCTTTTAATATGGCTCTTTTAGCCAAACTAGCATGGCGAATTCTGACTGAACCAGATTTGTTAGTTTCTCAAGTCTTTAAATGTAAATATTTTTCTAAGGAATCTTTCTTACAGGCACCGACCAATAAATATACATCTTGGACATGGAAAAGTATATCATGGGGGCGAGATCTATTAAGTAGAAGTGTTAGATGGAATGTTTCAAATGGTAAATCTGTAAGAGTATGGAGAGATCCATGGCTGCCGCGAGATAGCTCCTTTTACCCCTTAAGTATGGTGAGTGGTACTGTGACAAATATGAAAGTATCAGAACTGATTGATGACAGTACTAACACATGGAATATGCAGATTTTGAATACGTTATTTAGTGAAGATGATGTCGAATCTATTTTAACTATTCCAGTTTCTTCAGTAGGGGAAATGATCGACTAATTTAGCATTTTACTAGTTCAGGTAAATACGAAGTGAAGTCTGGGTATTATTTGGCGAAATTGCTCCTCACAAATGATAGAAGTTTGGCTAATCGTGCGGAAAGTAGTTCTCATGTGTTCCCCAAATCCTTTTGGAACCATTTATGGTCTTTAAATATTAAAAACAAGCTCAAGCATTTCTTAAGGAAGTGTGTCTTAAATACATTATCTGTTAAGAATATTATTAAAAAAAGAATTCACTCTATGGATGACATATGTCCTATTTGTGGAATGCAACCTGAAACTTTAGAGCACATGTTCTTTAAATGTCCTAGATCAATTCATGTGTAGAAAATAAGTCTGATTCGTTGGCCAAATTTGCTTCCGATCTCTGATTTTGCTACATGGTAGTATAAATTAGTGTTAGACACTAAAAGATTCTCGAAAATTAATACCTTATTGCAACTAGCAGTATCTATTTATGGATGATTTGGAAAGCTAGGAATGATTATATTGTTTTATCTAAAGCATTATTTGAATTTAATGAATTTACAATTACAAAGGAACATGTTAACACTATGAGCGATGCTTCAACTAATCCACCATTACTAACTCTTTCTTCAGAAAAAGTGTTGCTTTATGTGGATGCAGGTATGGATCCAAAGCCTTAAAGGCTAGTGGTGACGTGCTTTATGCCTATGATAGTCCAATTCCTTTTGTTGGAAAAGCCATAATAGCTGAAGCATGGGCAATAAGAAAAGAAATTCAAATGACGATGAAGTATAGTAGGAAGAATATAGATATCTTGTCTGATTCCTTAACAATGGTTCAAATGCTTAATGGAAGCAGAGGTCCTTCATGGGAAGTTAATACTCTTTGCGAAGATTTTTGGGCACTTCAGCAACATCTGAGTGATGTATCTTTTAAATATCTAAGTAGAGGGTTAAATACTTGTAGTCATAAGTTAGCAAAATTTTCTTTCGCACTGCTTAGTGAAGTCTCTTGGTTTGACAAGTTTCCTGTTTGAGTGTTTGGATTGTGAGGCTTCATCTGGTTTTGTACCATTGACTGTTGAGTTCGATTAATGCATGCTTTGTTTCCCCGGAAGAAAAAAAAAATAATTTTTGTTACCATGCTAGCAAACATTTTCTTTATCATGATACGTTCTAAACAATTTCCTTAACTATAAATTCTGATATATAGGAAACTTTGTGCAATTTCTGAATTTGTTAATCGTTTTTTAAAAAAAAATTTGGTATTACTGTGGAAACTAGAAGCTTTGACTTTCGTATTTTGATCCCCGTTTTTTTTTTTGGAACAAAGAAGTATTACTGTTCAATGTCCAAACACGAAATTAGGAAAATAAATTTAAGGTTCGTCCGCATAAAAAAAAATACTTCCAGCTTAAAATTTGAAACGAGTAGTATATTGTTCTATTTTTGCAATATAAAATGCATTATTAATTTAATTTCTGCATTACTAATGCTTCATTTGGTTTATGGCTAAAGCAACGATAGTTTGCAATATTATATTCTGCATTGCTAATACTCATACAACTTATGAGAGCATCTACATATTCCTTCCATTTTATTTTATATCTGGATATTTGACTGGTATGGCATTTAAAATTTGTGATTTTAATGTGTCATGATATTTTTTTGTTATAATATGTCACTAAAATTAAAATAAAACGTATAAAGTTAAATTATTTTTAAATATAAAAAGTTCGTATTCTGTTTGAAATAACTAAAAAGAAAAAATGCTACATAAAATGCAAAGAGAATATTATTTTATGAGAGATATAACTTGGAACGAGAATAAGTGTATTGTCAACAATAGATGAAGTATGTCAAGATATAAATATTCTTAAAGAGGCAATTAGTATTATTACGTTAATTAGTTAACTATTAACATAAAAGGTGGTTGGCTAAACTTTTAATTTATGGCCATACCTAATCATACATGCTCTTCAACATGCTCCTGACTAAATTGATTAATTTCTCAAATTCTACAGTATTATTTAGTGTGTTTAATAATTTTTGCATTATTATTCGAGGTAGAGCAATCTCGAATTATGATATTCACACAAAAAATTCAACGATCCTACACTTTACACCACAGTTAATTTCGTTTTCCAAAGAAGTTAGTTGTTGATTTTTTTATTTTGTATTTTCTTTTACAGGAGAGTAGAAAAAGAAATTAAATGAATTTGAATTAGTGAGTTTTCTTTTTTCTTTTTGTCATTCAGCTGTTTATTATAGTGATAATTAAACAGCTTTTATAGTACTCTGCTGTCTGCTGCTCCCCCCTCTCTGGGTCTCTATTTGTCGAAAAATCAGATCATACTCTACTAATATAAAATCCGTTCACGACTTTGGGTCGGATCCCCCGTCTCTTCTGCCATTATCTCGCGCGCCAATCCGTAACGTCGCCGGCGATTATGATGCGGCCCACCGTCCGATCACTAACTCTGTTCTCCTTCCTCGCCGCTTTCCTCGTCGTCTCGCCGGCGCTTGCTTCCGAGTCCGATCACAAGGTATAATGTTCGATATAGGAACCGTAGAAAACCCTAATTTCGGTCGTCTCTTTCAATTTCTTAATTTGTACGCATTCATTTTGTTTCTTTTCGGTTAGAAGCATCCTTATGCTGTTCAGATCTATGGGAGCTCCAATTGCGGAGATCTCTTTTGCGCATTGCTTCTCTGATTCCGAAATTTTGCAAGTTGTGATAGATTGATTCATAAGGGAATGAGTGTAGTTACCGTTTTGTTAATGCAAATTTCATGGTTTGTCTTTGTCTTTCGATCTCAACGAACTTCCTTGCTCCTGATCTCAAATTTGTCATACAGGTGCTTTATATGCTATTCATAGGTATAACACTTGTCTGGTTATATCTGCTGATTATTATGTTGTAAAATAGCGAAGTAAAAGCCACTTACAGGTCCTTGAGAATGTGCCTTTGCGGCTGTTATGAGGAGGATTCGATCATGGCCATTGCCTTCTGCAGATGATATGTAAATGCAATGACTGAGATTTGGTGTGAGATTATTTTGCTTAATTTCATGCGTCTAAGATAGAAACGAGGTGATTTATGTGAGTTTGCATGGTTGGGTGCTGGAACTCAACTTATTACTGTGAAAAGATCAAGAAAGGGACAAAAAAGGTGATCCCTTTTTAGTTCAGATATTAGATGGCTTCAATGTGTTGCTATTGGAGGAATTAGGAGCGACTAGACAGGTGGGACGCATTGTTGATGAAACCTTAGGATGGGAAGATCAATTTTCAAATAAGGGATGGAAAGCTGATGCCTTTTTTGTTCAGATTAGATGGCTTTATCAAATTGCTAATCGGTTGGTGGCAGGAGTGAATTGATGAGACAGGTGCACTACATTGTCGACGAACAAGGTTAAAGTATCCATTAAAAGTAGCTTCAGGGGTATACTCTATTATAAAAAGGCTAATTAGTGGACGTGGTAGAGTGGGTATCTAGTAGGTGCGTGTAGTGGATTGGCGGTGGTGCCAGAGAGTGTCGCAGTTGAAGATGGTGAAATCGTAGTTGATGGTGCATGTTGCATATATAACTATAAAACTTGCTTATTGACTGGGCCTTGATGGGATTTAGAAACTTTGAGCTGAACTTTGTTCAAGTAACTAATGGCCATTCAGCAGTTTATTTGAACGTATGGTTTCAGTGTCATATCGATCTTAAGGGAGTTAGCTATGAAATACTACATATGCACTTTTTAAGCTCTTCACTTTTTATGGATTTGTAAATACAGATCGATATTGGATAACTTTAGCTGCTCCCTCATTTTATATTAACTCTGGCCAATGAGGCCTAACTCAATTGGTTAGGCTGTGGTGTTATAAACAAGTTCACAGGTTCAACTTCCACTTTCTTATTTCTCTCACCATGTGTTTATAACTATACTGCTTTTCTGGGAAAGATCTTAAGAGCTACTCAGTCTTGCCACTTTCTCTCTCTCATATTATGATAATACTTGTTCCTGCCGCAAGGGTGATGATCTAGGATTTTCTATTCAGGAGTATTTGTAGCTCGTTTGACACTTCAATCTATTCAGTTCTAGCACTTATGCTGTCAATCTATTCAGTTCTGGCACTTATGCTGCTTAATGGACAGATGTGGCGTAACGGCATTCACTACTTGATTAAAAAAGGGCATTCATGATTTAGGGTATCTTTTCCCTTATGGTTCAGGTGTTTGGTTAAGATGTTAATCCTATACCTTTCTTTTTGCTTGTGCTTTTAAGCAATGCAAGTTTGTCTGCTTCGTTGCCCTAAGTTTTGTTCACTTCTGCAAATTTGTTAGTTGAAGTTTCTTCTAGAGAGGAGAAAATATTTAATCTCATATTTGTTTCCTGTAAATTCCTGGGAAGTATTACAATGTGCAGTAATTAAGTGGATGTATTGCTGCAATATGCTTTTGCTTTTGTTTCTTACTACATGCAAATGCTTCAATCTGACTCCTATGCTTTGTCCAACAGTATCAACCAGATGACCCGGTTACTCTGTGGGTAAACAAAGTTGGGCCGTATAATAACCCACAGGAAACATACAACTATTACAGCCTTCCATTCTGTCATGCTTCTGGTTCTCACAAGTGGGGTGGCCTTGGTGAAGTTTTGGGTGGAAACGAGCTTATTGATAGTCAGATTGACATAAGGTTTCAAAGTATGTGAATCCCCTTCACTGACTCCTGGCTACTCTTGTTTGATTTGAGATTGACACGGACTTTTTTTTGTTTGATAGAAAACGTGGACAAAGGTAGCATTTGTGAGCTTGAACTTGATGAAGCAAAGGTCAAGCAATTCAAAGATGCTATTGAAAACAATTATTGGTTTGAATTCTTCATTGGTAACAAACTTTATTCTTTGGTATATTTTACTTGTTTTTTTATTCTTTGGTATTACTTTAAAATTATGGCTGAAGGAAGTTTGAATTTGCAGTGAGAAGTTTAGATTAATTGGAACATTTTATGCATTCTTATGAAGATTCCCTGCAATGACACCTCTGCATTACTTTGAAACCCTTTTCTCGGTTTTCTTATCCCTTATTTGTTAGCAATTGCAAGAAAACAATGAGAAAATATCCTCCTATCTTAATGAGGACAAGGGCCTAATTCTTCTTGTGATGATCAATTCAACCTCTGATGAAAAGATATATCTTGGTTATATTTCATCTCTTCAACCCAAGCCTCAAACTGAAGCTATCCTTCGGAAATTGTAGAGTTCTAGACCAATGAAAATCTATGAATAGTATCTGTTCAGATACTGCCTATTCTTCTATTAAAATTCATTTGCATTTGACGCCTAATGCATCATATATTGGTGAGGCTTCACCTCTCTGTTATTTTCTTATTGAAGTTTTGTTTTGAAAGCTGTTTCTACATTAGTATAAAATATATTTTGTTATGTTTTGCTTAATTGCCACATTATTGTTGACTTCAAGTTAATTTGGTTGTCTTGATTTTTACCTACTTCTGTTTCAGCACTGAACTTATCCCCCCTTTTTCCAGATGTTCTGGCTTCTGTTGCTTTATTTTAGATTCTTTTGAATTCTAATGATTTTTCTTGTCTTGACCTTTACCTTCTTTTGTTTCCGGTTTGTTGAATTTTTTTCAGATGACCTGCCATTGTGGGGTACGTACTCTCTGTCTTTTAACTTTTCTTGGCAAGAGATGAAACGTAGGTGGTTCTAAGTTGTTTTTGCTTGTATTATAGGTTTTGTTGGAGAGCAACATCCTGACAGAAACAGTGATAATAAGCACGTACTTTACACACATAAGAACATCCATATTAGATACAATAAGGACCAGGTTTGTGACTTGATCATCTCATCCAATTTTGGTGGATAGTCTGCATATTCATGTTCACCATGACTTTGTTCTTGCAGATCATTCATGTCAATATTTCTCAAGAGGGCCCAAAGCCTTTGGAGGCTGGGAGAACATTGGACATGACATATTCTGTCAAATGGGAACCAACCAATATCAGTTTTGCTCGTCGTTTTGAAGTTTACTTGGATTACCCATTTTTTGAACATCAGGTGGACGTTAATTGGATAATTTTTTTCTTAATTTTATTGGTCCACTCCAACAATTGAACTATTGATGGTGCATTACCTTAACACTGTTGACCTTTGCATGCAGTTTTTTCCTGACCGCTGTCTGTTGTTTTTAATATATATAATCATTGTAGTTGGATTAATCTAATGTTTTAAAGCATCTCTTTGTATTTAAGTTAGCACCATAGGATTCATTTTTCCGCCGTATAGTTTGTAATTTGGTATGTACTCTGCAGATTCATTGGTTCTCCATCTTTAACTCCTTCATGATGGTCATCTTTCTTACTGGTCTGGTGTCTATGATATTGATGCGGACACTGAGGAATGATTACGCCAAATATGCTAGGGAAGATGATGACTTGGAGTCTCTGGTAACAACCTCGTGGTTAAACAGCATTCTGTTAGATAAGCTCTAGCCTTTTAGGATTATTTTCATAACCATTATTGTTTTCGTTTCAGGAAAGAGATGTGAGTGAAGAGTCTGGTTGGAAACTTGTTCATGGAGATGTATTTCGGACTCCTCGTACCCTAGTGTTACTTTCTGCTCTTGTTGGTACTGGGGCACAGTTGGCATTGCTTGTTCTCCTTGTCATTCTGTTGGCAATTGTGGGGATGTTATATGTTGGGTATGTTAAATACTTGAAATCAACCTTTGAACTTTAGTTGTTGCCTATTTATGTAGGAGTAGATTATATGGGCAATTCATGATCGGTCTGGTACTTCTATTTTCATGGTTTTGAGTTAAGTTATAGCATTGTCATGAAATTACTAGATGCTACAAGTAGTTGTTACCGTAGCTCTGTTTATTTGTTACTTTTTTAAGACGGTCAGCTGAAATAGAATTTGTGCATTCTTTTACAGGAGAGGAGCCATTGTTACGACTTTCATAGTATGTTATGCTTTGACATCATTCATTTCAGGCTATGTTAGTGGTGCAATGTACTCGCGAAATGGTGGTATGTTTCATTTCTTATCTATATATCCTTGTAGTGCACT